GCTTTTGTAATGTACTATGGAAGCATTTGCATATATATAATGTTTTCTCTTGAAAACAAGCAGAGTCAAGGAATACAACATGCAGAAGCTTAAGGAAAGTTTGGGAGTAACATAGAGTAACCTTAGCTATAGAAAGCTTAAGATTTGTTCCTCTCTCTTCTCTCCCCAGCATGAAAGGGAATTGAACCCAGAGCCTTGAACATATTGGGCAGATACTCTATTATTAAGCTACACCCATTTTTCTTAAAAGGTTTTTTTTTTTTTTTTTTTTTTTTTTTAGTTTTCTGAGACTGTAGCCCAAGCTGGCCTCAAAGTTGCTATTAGCTCAGGATGACTTTTAACTTGTGACCCTGTCTTTACCTCCTGAGTGCTGGTGATTAAACCCAGGGCTTCCCACATGCTATGGAGTCAAGGACTATACCAATGGAGCCACATCACCAGTCTCTAACCTTAGCTAGGCGTGTGGCATTTCAACACAACCTAATCTTGCCTTTCACTGAACTCTGCCTGGTGGTCTAGAAGGTGTTCCACGGCCCTCCTTGTCTACCTAGGCTCACTGCAGAGGAAAACTGAAATAAGAAGCCTGGGCCTGCGTAGAGGGCTTGGTGGATAAAAGTGCTTTTCTGCCAAGCCTGGGGACCTGCGATCCATCCCCTGGACTCTGCATGGTAGGAGAGAGTGGGCTCCTACAAGCTGTCCTCTGACTTCCACATGTATACCATAATACAGTACACACGCGCACTCCCCCTCTCTATCTGAAAAGGTTAAAACATAAAAATGGAAATGGGAATTTTTGCACTCATTACATGGAGTCTTAGACTCAAGGGGAAGTGAACAACTGTGCAACACAAGTGGAGGAAGTGGCCAGCAGTGTGAGCTGTTCAGGCCGCTCTTGGGGTGATAGCCATGGCTTGCTTAAGGCAGTCCCAGGGAACAGTGAGAATGATAAAATCCATGCTGACAGACTTTATAAGAGGCAACTTTAAGGTCCTTAAGGTGCTACATATGCATTTGCTATGGGGAGAATGGGACTCAGGGGTGACCATTTGAGGAGGAGGTAAAAAAAAAAAAAAAAAAAAAAAAAAAAGCAGAAATAATCCATTTATTTAACCCAGCAAGTTATAATGTGAGGGCCTGCAATCCGCTCACACAACAACTGTTTGGCAAGCCCCCCTGTGTTCCAACAAATATTAAACTGTGCTTGCCATTTGTCTACGGAATCTTGCATTAATAAACATGAAGAAGAACACTTTACCTCCCACTCTCAGCGATGGGACCAAACAAAGACCAGCTGTACTCATCAATGGGGCCTTGTTCTGTGCATAAAGGCTAATTACATTTTGCTTCAAGCCTACACATGGAAAACTTTACTGCCACTGTCCCTATCACAGCCAGCCGAGCAGTCCCAGCTGACATACAGCTGAAATGACTGCAAAAGCAGCAGTTAGGGATGGGGGTGGAGAGCTCCAAGTGGCCTCATTGCCTTTGACCTGCATCCCTATGGGTCTTTTGTAGTTCAAATTGCCCTAACAGTATAGCCGAAGCTGACCTTTAACTCCCCATCTTCCTGGCTTCCACCTCCCAAGTACTGGGATTAGAGACATGTGCAATCACACCTGTTTCTTGTAGTATTGAAGATCAACCCCAAGGCCTTGTGGATGCTACGAAAGAACCCCATCAGCTGAGTTACACTCCCCAGGCCCTGTGGCTTCTTTTTGAATGGGGCAAGGGGAGGTGGGTGATCTGAATGACTGACAAGCAGTGTGTACCCTATAAACTGACAGTTTCAGACTAACACTCTCCAAGAAACATACACAGGACTGTTTTGAGCATCCTCAGTCCTCGCAGTGTTGGTTCTCCACAGCTACTCAGTAATGCAACTGCTCCTATGGCCCTTGTACAAGACACCAATAGGCCCTGGAGGTCACAGCGTGGACAGAACAATCGCTCCCAAAGCACAAAGCAGTCTTTCCCCAAAGCCCACTTTCCTAGGTTTTCTGTCAACACATGTTGAAGCATTCTACTTTTTTTTTTTTTTTTTAAAGTGATACTTAAAACCATTCCAGGTGTGTGTGCATATGATGTGGTGCCAGAGAGGTCAACCTTGTGTGTTGTTCCTCAGGAGCCATCTCTCTCTCTCTCTCTCTCTCTCTCTCTCTCTCTCTCTCTCTCTCTCTCTCTCTCTCTCTCTCTCTCTCTCTCTCCTCCCTCCCTCCCTCCCAGGATCTCTGCCTGGGTCCTGAGGATCATAGTTAACATAAGCTAGTTGTTCAGGGAACCCCAGGGATTTGCCTATCTTTCCCTCCCCAGTGCTAGGATTGCAAGTGAACTTTACCAAGCCCAGCTTTTATGTGGATGCTGGGGATCAATTCAGGTCTTCATGCTTGCATGGCTGGCACTCCCTAGTCTGAGTCACATTCCTAGGCCCACCCAGTCCTTTCTTTTCTAATCAAAGAAATAATTTTCAGTCCAGTCTACCTGAAGCTCAGCGTTTCCAGATCCATCAACCCACTGTACTGGTGGGCACAATTTTCAGAACTGTGGCAGGAGTGTCATTGTGGCAGCTGGTGTGGTGTCTGCTGTGGGAATGTGTTGTGAGTGAGGAAGTCTATGGGCTTTCAAAGGGTAGGGGCAGCATGTGTTGAATGATGGCAGCTGCTCTCAGATGGCCCTGTCTCTGGGATGGAAGGAGGTAAGCCCAAAGCCACAGAATTTACAAGGAAATTTAATAGGTATTCCCTTAGGCTGAGCTCACATGTCGCTCTTCAAGTCCAAATGTAGAGCACAGAAGGAGGAGGGTGATGGCCTGAAGGCTTCTGTGAGGTTTAGATATGCCATCAAGTCAGCCAGCTAGGGAGACTGATGGGGACATCTGGGTCTCTGTGAATAAGTTCTCTGTTATCTAGTAAAATTTGACTGCAGGGTTGGGGAGCTAATGGGGCCCTTAAAGTTCAGGACTACTAAATAAACCAGAGCAGAGGGTTAAGAGATGGCCCTGAGTCTGGGGAGATGATGGCTCCATCAGTAAAGGGTTTGCTGTGTAAGAATGAGGGCCTGAGTTCAGACTCCTAGCACCCATGTACAAAGCCTGGTGTGGTGGCACATGTTGGTAATCCCACTCCTGAGGACCACTTATCCTTAGATGGATCCCTAGAGCTCACTGTCCAAAAGCTTAACTCCTGTGTGAACTCCAAGTGTATAGATAGAGATTCCTGGCTTAAAAAAAAAAAAAAAAAAAAAACCAAGGTGGTAGGCTTCCAGATGATCTGAGTTGGATTCCCAGCACTCACATGGTAACTTATAACCGGCTGATAACTCCAATTCTAGGGGCTCTGCGGCTATCTTCTGGCCTCTGGGAACACCAGGCATGTACATGGTATAGGCATACATACATACATATAGGCAAAACATCCATATTCATAAAACAATAAAGTAATTTAAAAATAAGGTAGAGAGTGATTGAGGGAAGTACCTGGTCTGGCTTCCATGGGAACACACATTCAAGCACATACGTGAACACATATCCCACATGAAAAGGACAAGGATTGCTGAGGTAAGGGGTGTATCACAAAAACAGGGTGGGAATAGCCCACTGGAGCAACATGTGAGCAAACCAAGACCTGTGTTCCCAGTGGCTGGAGGCAGCACCGCTGGTGAGTACATGGGCTTTTTCTGTGGGAGATCAGAAGAGCCTTCTCCAATGGGAAAAAGCTATGAAAACTTCAGCCTCACACAGCCTGTCTGAACGTTAGCCATAGCTAGCAGACTGTGGCCTCCTCACAACTTAGGACAGTATCTGTTCCTTCTCTCTGCTCATCTGCAAGGAGGGGTCTTGCAGGAAGTGTTCCTGTCACAGGACTCTGATGTCTGACATCATCTTGACAAAGGTCAGGTAGGCAGGAAATGTCATTGGCTCAGCTTCATCCCTGTGTGTCCCCACACAGGGAGCCCTGCACAGAGGCGTAAGGCTCAGTGACAAGCTACCTTTATGTGCTATGCTTATTCTTCCTAAGGACTCTGTCCCAGAAGAAAAGGTGACAGTTTCCCCAGACTGTATTTCCACAGAAGTGTCCCATCAATTACATCTCTTGTAAGTTAACCCTTTCCCAACATAGAAAAAAAGAAGTAGAGCACATACACTGGCTAAGCAGGTTAAAAGCCCTTGGTGTGTAAGTATGATGATGGGAGTTTGACTTCAAGAACGCAAATAAAAAAGCCCAGGTTCAATTCTTAGCAGCCACATGGTGGCTCACAATCACCTGTAACTTTAGCTTTAGAGGATGCAGGTACTGCACACACAAGACATACAGACAGGCAAATCCATAAAATAAAATATAAAGGGGGCTGGGGAGATGGCTCAGAGGTTAAGAGCACTGGTTGCTCTTCCAAAGGACCTGGGTTCAGTTCCCAGCAACCACATGGTGGCTCACAACCATCTGTAATGAGACCCGGTGCCCTTTTCTGGTGTTCAGGCACACATGCAGGCAGAACACTGCATACACAATAAATAAATAAATAAATCTTAAAAAGTAAAAAATAAAAAGCCAGATGTGGTGTATATCTGTAACCCCAGCACTCCTACAGTGCAACAGGAGATGGAGACAGGAGGCTTGCCTAGAGGCTTACAGACCAGCTACTCTAGAGTGTACAGCAGGAGGAAACAAGGAGAGACCCTGGCTCAGCAAGGACTGACTCATCAAAAGGGTCCTCTAACTTCTTACATGTGCACTGTGGTATGCACACTCATTCACACACACATAATCACATCAAACAAAGCAAAGACTAGACTACTCTGTGACCAGGGAAGACGTTTCAGTGGGGAAGGATGTGATACAAGTGACTTATTGGACTGACACTGTATCTTGGCAGCATGACAGGAGGTTGAGTACCTTCTAAGCCCATCTTCTGTAGATTAGCAACAGCAGAGCCTTCCTGACCAAATGAAAACAAAACAAAACAAAACAAAAAATAAAAGAGGATGACACCATACAGACACTTACTTTGCAGTAGTTTCTTCATCATATTTGGTTTTCAGGTCAAATAATTCTGTTCGAGTTTTTTCCAGGGCTATAAAGCAAGGAGAGATACCATGATATAAGACCAATCTTGTTTGTTTTAAGACACCGTCTATGTAGCTCAGGCTATCCTTGAAGTCATTATATAGCCAAAGATAACATTTAATGTCTGATCCATCTGCCTCTACCTACCCAGTGCTCAGATTACAGGTATGAACCAACCCCTATGCCTGCTTTTCTAGGTACTGGGGATCAAATCTAGGGAGTTTTGAGTGCTGGATAAGCACTCTACTGATGGAACTATATCCCCACCTCTTTAGGTTGCTTTCAAAGATGGGATTTCATGTAGCCTAGGCTGGCCCCGAATTCTGGATCTCCCTGGGTACAATTTCCCAATGATGGGATTACAAGCGTGTGCCATCAAGCCCAGCTAGGATACTAATTGCTTAAAGTGAAAAGGCGAAAGTACACAAAGATGAGAGACATACAAAGGATGGAGAAGAAAGCTTTCCCACATTCCGCTGCATCTCTCTGAAGTACCTCCTTCAACACAGAACCACTGCCCATAGTTTGCTGCATAGAGACGTCCAGCTTTTAAATGTCTTTCATCACCAAAAAACTATTTCTATACACAACTGCAAATACAGCTGCATACTTCATTTTGCTGTTTATCACAGACAAAGTAAATGACGGAGGTCACATATAATCATGGTGGAGCTGGAAAATTCCTATCACCCAGGGGCAACATGGCTGTGTTATCATCTCAGTGCAACTATGGTGACACTGGTGTGCTACCACCTGGGTAAAAGCATGCATATGGTAACTGACCATGACTATAAACAACTCTGCTACTTTATATATTTCCTATATAATACTTCAAAAGGTTTCGTGTGCGCGTGCTCATATTCCTGTGTGCACATGTGTGTGTGCATGTATATTTGGAGTCCAAATGACAAACTTGATGTTGTTCTTCTGATGGCATCCACCTTGTCTTTTTGTTTTTGGAGCAGGATCTCTCATTGACCTGGAACTTACCAAGTGGGCAAGGCTGGCAGACCAGCAAGCCCCAGGGACCACCTGTGTCCACCTCTTCTATAAACATGCTCTGCCACACATGGCTTCTTCCCTGGGCTCTAGGCTGAGGTTGAACTCAGATCCTGTTATACTTTCAATTACTCTTTTGGGATACCTCTATTTATGAAAAAAAAAAAAAAAAAAAAAAAAAAAAGCTTATGGTGGGCTGGAGAAATGGTTCAGAGGTGAGCTCCTGCAGATGACTCATGTTTGCCTCCCAGTACCCATGTTGTGCCACTCATAACTGTCTAACTCCAAAGGGATCTGATGCCTCTGCAGTCACCTGTACTCACGTGTACACACACACACACAAAAGTTTATTTTAAAATAGTGTGCTCTGTGGTAGGAGCAGAAACTTCATCTATGGACAGTCAACTTTATTTACTAACTGAACAGCAAGGCATAGTGGCACATGCCTGCCATCTCAGCAGTGAGGAGGCAGAAGCAGGAGGATCATGAGGTCCAGGCTAGCCTGGGTTACAAGATGAGATCTTAACAGGTCCATAAATGGGATGGTAAGAGTATTTTCTGAGGCTCATCTTTTTGCTTAGTCTCTCCATGTCAGATAACAGGCAGAACAATTAGCTTTACTTTTAACATGCTCAGAAGTGAAGCAGCTGGGTAAAGAACAGAACATGCCTGCCCCTACAAACCACCCAGTCAGCCTCAAAAGGCAATTCCCATTCATATCCACACAGTGCCTGTGACCATGCTTCTACACCCTCAGCAACAATGGCACTATCTGTTTTTTAAAAAGCTGATAGAATGATAGGTAAAACCATCTTTTACTGATTTATCTGCAAATCTCTGACTGTTAAAAACGGTTAGCTCTTTCCCTTATGATGTACACTGCTTTTGAGAGCTTCCTGCTTCTTCAATTACTGTTCTACTGGACTGATTCTTCATTTTCTAGAATTCGGAAGTGGTATTTATAGCACTATAGACATATGTATATATACACATATGGTAAAGACTGAAATGAAGGTTTTGCCCATGCTACGCAGGTGCTGTACAATTGACCCACACTTGAAGCCCTTCATTGGGGGATTCTAGGCAGGTGCTCTACCACTGAGTCACACCCCAGCCCCTCACCAGGGGATTCTAGGCAGGTGCTCCTTTTAGAAAGCTGCATTGGTAGCTTGGTGTTTGCAGTTTTTGGACATTTATTCATTTGACAGTTAAAATGGCTATGACTATTTTTTGTCCCTCTAACATTTGTGTTCTAAGTTGGATCATGATGTCTTCTTATTTTTCTCCCCACATTTAAAGATACCATGCTGCTTCCTTCTCAGAAAAGGAAACAAAAAAAGAAAGGCAAACTTTGGTATAACCTTTTTTGGTATCTTTTAGAATTTAAAGGTTCTGTTATTACAGTTCTTAACTTCATTTCGGTTAGAGCTAAGTCCCCCTACCCCCATTATTGTTCCAAATGAGATGTCAGTTCTTGACAGTTTGGTGATTTAGAAGTGTTTGTTGGAAAGAAGAACAGGAAGGATGGCTGGGGCAGGGAGGGAGAAGGCAGGAGAGCCACCCACATCCACATTAGCAACTCAATGCAGTGACTAATGCAGTCAGACAAAGCAGCCTGGGACTCAGGCTTCAATTATGAGGGCTCAAAGCTCCTAACTGCAGGATCCCCAGGAGCAACAAGTAGCAGAGGGGCTAGGAACAGGCCAGGAGACTGTCCATGCTTGACCAGCCCATTTCCATATTCTCCATGTGGCTTCAAATAGAACAGAGAGCATCCAACCTGTTTGCAGCGTCTGGAGTTTGTGCTCAGCTTCTTCCAGCTTTGAGGTGGTGGACATCTGGGTCTCTTGCAGCTTTCTGGGGAAATAAAGAGAGAGAGAGAGAGAGAGATAGAGAGAGAGATAGATAGATAGATAGAGAGAGAGAGAGAGAGAGGGAGAGAGAGAGAGAGAGAGAGAGAGAGAGAGAGAGAGAGAGAGAGAGAGAGAGAGAGAGAGAAGCCAAATTGGTCATCTTATTTTGAGTGCTGAGATAGGCTGTGGGTCCTGAGCCCCATTGCCCAGCGCTCTTCTCTTCTCAGGGAGGCCCAGCTGGAGGCAGGCCTCTACATACAGCTCAAGTCTCTGCATCTCACCTTTGTGAGTACATTTTATACAACATGGGGTGTGCACCCATCAGGACCTGACTTGTGTAGCAATGAGTGTGGAAGGTTCTCCTATATGGAACTTGTTCCGAGATGGCAGATATTAAAAAGAAATGAAACAGCATCATCACACACTCATTGTTTTCTGAAGTTGGGGAGAAGAATGATACATTTACATTCTGCTGACACAGAAAAGGAATCTGTTGGCATAAAGGATGTCCTAAACAGATGTGACAGCTGTCCTTTCCTCTAAAGTGGAGCGCAAATGCTACCACAGTGTGTGGGGGTGGGAGATTCTGAATATATGAAAGCAGTTTACTATTCCCATGGTCTCCAAATGCTGTCCCCAGCCAAAAAATAACATGCTTTACTCTGTGTCTGCAGAAAAAAAAATCTAAAAATAACTTCATTATTTTTATATTATATGAATTTAACATATGCTCAATACAATAAACCTGGGGTACCAAAAAAAAAAAAAAAAAAAAAAAAAAAGGAGAAATGACAGCTTAAAAAATAAAAGCAGGCAAATTTCTGTCACCTATAGAATAGCTTTGCTAATACTTTCATGTGTGGTGTGTCCATTATAAAATGGGAGACACAGTATAAATTATAAAACTGCAGAGGATCAGACCTCATTTTCTTGCACCCACATCAGGGGGCTAGCAACTGCATGTGACTAGTTCCATGACGGCTATCTGTCTGGGGTGTGGTGGGGGTGTGGGATGTGTGTGTGTGTGTGTGTGTGTGTGTGTGTGTGTGTGTGTGTCCAATGCCCTCTTCTGGCCTCTATAGGTAATCTATACACATATCGCATACCCACACAGAAACACATTCATACACATACACATAATTAAAAACAAATCTTAAGAAAATCCCACTTTAAAAATTATATGATCACGTATGTGTGTGCATGCGCCCCAACACGCATTGGAGTAGAAGCTAGAGGCTGTCTGTATCTCCCTCAACTGTCTCTTCACTTCTTTTTTGAGACAGTCTCTGTACTGGAGCCTGAGCTCACTCATTTGGCTAGATTGGCTGGGGAGAATTCCTTAGCAAGCAATCCACCTGTTTTCACTCCTCAGTTCTGGAATTACAGTTGGGTAGCAGCACTTGACTTTTTTACTTGGGCACTGAGAATGTGAACTCAGGCCCTCAAATTTTTGTAGCAAGCATCTTACCAACTGAACCACCTCTCCAGGACTCAAAGCTTTGTTTTTTGTTTTGCTCTCTGTTTGTTTTCTTTTATTTTGTATTTTGAGACAGTCTTTCTAAATAGCCCTGGCTGTCTGGGAACTAACTCTGTAGATCAGACTAGCCTCTAAATTGCAAAGATTCACCTTACCCCGTCTCCTGAATGCTGCAATTAAAGGTGGCACCCCAAACTGTTCTAAAAAAAATTATAAGAGGATAGGAAGTACAGTCCTTTTTAATATTTCCACTCCTCAGGGTTCCTTTGTACATTTCTACAACACACATAGTGGACATAAGTAACTACAGGGCACACTAACTACAATGTGACATGCAAGGTATGTAAACTAATATGCAATGCATTAACACACAACAGACTCACATGTATTGTGATGCAGAGTAATGTAACATACAGTAATGTGTAACAGTACAAAGTAACATGTAATAGTATGTATGAATTAAATTAAAATATAACAAGCTATGGTGCAATATAAACTCCTTTCCCCCCCCTTTTGGGGAGGGTAGGGTTGAGAAAGGGGCTCCTTTTAGCCAAGGCTGGTGTCCAACTCTAGATCTCTCCACCTCAGCTTCTTGTGTATTAGGTCTTAAGACATGAATCCCTGCAGTTATGCTTTCTTTTCTTCTGCGTGCACGCTTTGGCAGCTTGCCTTGCCCTCCATCACCATGTTTGGAAGCATATATTGCTACCCCTCATTCACAGCACCAAACTGAACCAAAAAGCCACAGACACCTAAGACTGTTTAGTTCCTTTCTACTAAACATTTTGTTAACTATGGCTTTTGGATAATTTGGAGAGTGAATTTGTTGAACAAAATTCTAACAGAGCAATTTCAATGGTCTTAGGCTGTATGTAATTGTTTTACTTTTTAGATAGGTATTTAGGATCTTTCCAATTAAAAGTCCTCTAAACTTCTGCCAATGTGTTTTTGTAAACCCTGCCAACACTGGATAAAATCAAACTCAATATTTATTGCTGTCTCTTTGTATGCTCAAATATTAGACTCTGTCTACTTTCAGAAGGTTTTGTTACTGGTTTTTGTTTGTTTGTTTGTTGAGTCTCATATAGCCAAGGCTGGTCATGAACTCCCAATCTTACTGCCTACACCCCCTGAGTGATGGGATTATTGGCATGCACCATCATGTATGTATGACAAGCAGAACTGATTATTTCTTTCCATTAATTTGTAAGAGCTCTGTGTATATACAGAAGATTTACCCCTGGGGCTAGAGAGCTTGGGTTGGTGGCTAAGAGCTCTTGCTACTCCTAAAAAGACCAGGGTTTAGTTGCCATCACCCACATTAGGCGGCTCATCACTGTCTTCAATCCAGTTCTAGGGGATCTGATGCCCATTTCTGGCCTTCATAGGCACTGCTTATACACAGTGCACACAGATTCATAGAGGTCCACATGAATAAAAGAATATATATTTAAAAAGGAAATTTGGGGCTAGAGAAATGATTCATTGATAAAGATCATAGAGTGCTCTTCCAGAGGACCTTAGTGTGGTTCCTAGCACCCACATCAGGCAGCTTACAACTGAATATAATTCCAGCTCCAGGTGATCTGACACCCTCTTCTGGATTCTTTAGGCACATGAACTCTTGCGTACCAGTTCACATACAGATACACATAATTAAAAATAAATAAATAAAAGAAAATTCACTCATTATCTTACACAGTATAAATCTATTTTTCTCTCTTTGTTGATATATTAAAAACTTTACTGTTATTGGTTTTTTAAATTTTGGATGGCCATGTTGATATACTTTTTAAGATAATTATTATAAAGATTTTTCCATTTCAAAAATATTTAAAAATATGTATCAAAGTTTTCTTTCAGTATATAGTGAATTATTATTTAAATCTCAAATCTATCTTAGTTTTTAAAATCATTTGTGTATGTGTGTGTCTGTGTGAAGGTCAAACATTGAAGTTGGGTCTCTCCTTTGGTCATGCTCTACCTTATTTCTTGAGGCAAAGTCTCTAACTGAACCCAGAGCTAATCTAGGTGTCAGCTTAACCCAGGGATTCCTCTCTGCTTGTGCTGGGATTACAGATCACTGCTATGCCCAAACCAATTTTATGTGGGTTTTGGAGATCCTCACACATATATATATCAGGGTTTTGAGACTCTGAAACTCTCCACATAAGCCAAGCTTCAAAATCATGGCAATCATCCTGTTTTAGGTCCTGATTGCTGGGATTACAGACATAGCCACTATGGCTGGCTCCAACCCGACTTTTTTATGCATGTAAAGAATGATAATAAAGGCAAAGCTTTATTTTTATTCCTTTCTCTAAACATTATTCTCTTTTAATATGTTCAATTTCTTTACCTAATTTGAATTCAAACTAACAGTACCAAATTCCCAAATCAGTTTATTTCCATACTTTTATAAAGTATGAGGCTGAAGGGGGTGCATGTTATCAATCACATTACACATAACCTTTTTTTTTTTTTTTTTTTTTTTTTTGAGACTGGGTCTCATGTAGCTCAGGCTGGCCTCAAACTCATTATGGAACTGAGGATAACCTTGAATTCCTCATTTTTAGCTCCCCAGTGTTGGGAGTAAAATTGGTGCCAACATACTTGAGAAGTGGTGCTGGAGATGGAATATGGAACACATTGCCAGTGAATGTATGGAACTTTAAATCCTGTGGGTTTCATTCTTGTCTTGCTGTATTATTTGCTCAGGTTGTTGTGAATTTTAGTGTATTATAATTTTCATTACTAGGAAGAGCTGTGATTAAAGATGGCCCATATCCCTGTATCCAGTCTTCATGGTTGGGAGTGAAGGGTTTAGACTGCTGTACTTTTCTGCACAATCAGCAATGAAACATGCTTTTTTTGTATGTTTCTTTTTGAGAAACAGTTTCACTGTAGCTCAACCATACTTGGAACTCATGCTGTAGCCCAGGTTGGCCTCTAATTTGTGAGTGAGTTTCTTATCTCCACCTCCACACTGGTGGAATTAGTGTGCACCAACCTACTGGTCATTTTCCTTTTTTAAAAGATTATTTTAGTGCGTGCGTGTGTGTGTGTGTGTGTGTGTGTGTGCTGCACATGTGGAGGTCAGAGAACAACTCTGTGGATTTGGTTCTCTTTTTTCCATTCTCATGTGGGTTCCACTGATCAAACTCAGATCACCAGGTTTGTGCAGCAAGCTGGCCTGTAACTCATTATGTAGACCAGGCTGGCCTCAAATTCACATAAACCTGTCTACCTGTCTCCTGAAAGTTGAGATTAAAGGCATGTGCCACCATGCCTGATCCTATTTTCTTTATATTTGTTTATTTTCATTTGTTTTTGTTTGACTCATGGTCTAACTATGTAGCCATTACTGGTCTAGAACTGGCCACAAAGACAATACTGACCCCAAACTCACAGAGGTCTGAGATCTGAATGCCTATGCTTCCCAGGATCTGGGATTAAAGGCATGTACCGCCACACCTAGCCTTTATGTCTTTATAAATGGAGTCAGTGAAGTTGGCGTCACAGTTTCCCTGAAGCTTTTGTGAGAAACGGGAGGTGTCCTGGTTAGATTTAACTGTCAACTTGACACAGCCTAGAGTCATCTAAGAGGAAAACCTTGATTGAGAAATTGCCTAGATCAGATTGGCATGTCAGGGGTGGGGAGTGTCTTAATTATTAATTAATACGAGAGGGCCCAGTCTACTAAGGGTAGCACCATCCTTGGGCAGGTACTTTGGGATATGTAAGAAAGTAGTATTTCTCAATTGTTTCTGTTCCATGTTCCTGCCCCGACTTCACACAATGATGAATTGAGACCTAAAAGACAAAAGAAACTCCTTCCTCCTCAAGTTGTTTTTGGTCATAATATTTTATCATAGCAACAGAGAAGTAAATAAGTTTTCTTTCTTTCTTTTTTTTAAAATATTGGTGTTGGAGACTGAACTGGGGCATCATTCAGTTAAGCATGAGTTTTATCAGGGGGCCACAGCTTCAGCTTAGCTTTCATACTTGACATCTTTTATTTTTGCTTTGTTTTTCTTTTGTAGACAAGATCTTGTATGTAGCCTTTAATTCTAGCATTTGTAGGCAGGCATTTGAGGTTGTTCTAGTCTACATACTGAGCTCTCTGCTAGCTAAGGCTACATAGTAAGACCTTGTTTCAAAACACAAACATTAAAGGAACTTATGATTCTCCTACCTGAGACTCATGAATAGTGGAATCATAAGCATGTGCCACTGTACCTGGCTCCTGGGATCTTTTTGAAGCCACCCCATAGAACTCCAGTGAAATTGACCATGAAATCAGTGGTCACTACTAGATAAAACACCATGCTGGGACTGGAGAGATGGCTAACAGGGTAAACTGTTTGCCACACAAGCTTGAGGACCTGACTGATTAGTCTAGCTGAACTGGAAAGTTCATTGAGAAACCCTGTCTCAAATAAAAAAGGGAAGAGTGATAGAGGAAGATATCACACCTGACACTGACCTTAGGCTTCCACATTCACACATAAACATCCATGCATGCACACTCACACACACAGACCACACATACCCATATCACACACACACCCACACCACACACCATGCCCCTTGTGAGCAAACCTAGCCACTTACTTGAAACTATAAATCTAGTTAGTGCCTCCTGTTAAAATGTATGTGCATTTCCTAATGCTAGTGCTAAAATTTAACATCTTAATTTAACTAAAGAGTTTTTAAAAATCTGACTAACACAGTTGGAACTAACAAGCTCAGGCGTCCCCATACCTTTTACAAGAAATCTGATTTTCATTAAATTGTTCCATTAGCGGAAAGCTACTCATTTATGGAGAAAGTCTGGGATAAAGTAAGCCATTAGAAAGCCGTGACTGCCATTAGTCAGGTGTAGCATTGGTGCACTGCACTGGTCCTGGCCCAGGGCCCCTCATTCGAAATGCCTGAACCTCGGCTGGGACAGACTTTTAGAGATTTTTTTTTTGATTTCTAGAATATCTATATAGATGGCATTGGGTAAAAGCGTCAAGTCTGGAGTGCTCTAAAAAGATCGACATTTTGTTCCCTTTGGTGCTGGGATGGAAACCACAACCCTGCATATGCTAAGCATGGATTCTGAGGGACCTCAGCAGGCTTAACATTTTCAGTATTTACAGTTTTACAAGTCAAGAGTATTTCAGAGTTTTGGATTAGGGATCTCAATTTCTTGCTTTATGAGGTACTATGGCAATAGAAAGAAGCAAAAGAAAAGAAAAAAAAAAACTTTGTATGTGACACATATACACCAAATTCAACGAAAGTAGATGGAGTTTGAGGCTTTTTTTTTGCAGAGGACACGTGTTGCCTCAGCTCAAGTACAGCTGTCATTTGTCAACTTGTGTTCAACGTACACAACCCTTGTTCTCACTCTGTGGGGCTGAAACACTGGTGTGTTTGGCTGCTTGTCACCACTGCCACCAGGAAAAAAGTGACACATTGCACTCAAGGGATTTTACAATGAAGAAACAAGAACCACTGTCATTTTTTAACAAAACTTTCCAGCGGTGTTGAGGGTGGAACCTAAGACCTCACTCACAGGGATTACAGGCAGGTGCTGTACCACTGAGCTACATCTAAGCCCTTCCAGCAAGACTTCCTAAGAGCTTTGGGACTTTTGTCAACAATCTGGTTTCACATGTGCACTTTTCAAACTGTCGTGTGACAGCAGGGTTGGAGGTGAAGTATTTATTGGTGCCATGGGGGCAATGGGAGCTGTGAGGCTGCACTCACCTCTCCTTCTCGGCAAAATCATTTTGTAACTTCTGTTCCTTCTCCAGAGCAATTGTCTCAGCCTGGCTCTTCAGAGTCTGCTCGTATTCTCGGATTTTCTCCTTAAGTGCTTTTATCGTAACCTCTGCAGAATGAAAGACCAAAAAACCAACAGTAAGGGAAGCAGTTCCTCATAGCTGGGTGAACCAGGCTTTCGTAACCTGCCGGGATCGCTGTATTTTAAACTTGAGCTTGTCCATGCTGACACAAAATCAATGGTTATGAGTCCCTTTGGGGACCTTTTACTCCCTCAATGTGAAATTGAACTTGTAGTATTCAAGTTGGGGAGGATCAATGGGTTTTGCCAGGAAGGATTGTGGTGGTCCCTCCAGCACACTTAGAAAAGGGGGAAATCGATAGTAAAACATAATATTGTCTTACTGATGCATCTTAAGTTGGTCCTCTACTGAGGACAGACTAATAAAGTTTGGGTGTGGGTTTAGAGACTTTACTACATGGAAAGGGTGCAAACATTTTGGAAGGAATCAGACACAGCCCTCATCAGCCACCAATGCAGATTTGCTATTGTTTCTTGTGGGATGGAAAAGGCCAGGCACTGTGGCTGGGTGCCACTTACTGAGCTGGGGAAGGGAAAAATCATCACAGAGTTTGGGTGTTGGTGTATACGCTGCCCTGGCCACTTGCTTTGGTGGATGAGGGCTCCATATATAGAGCTGATACTGTAGGGTGTGGGAAGAGGACAATCAGGTGTTTGGGAGTGACCTGGATGTGCTCTGTGGCAAAGGATGTGTGAGGAGGGATAACCTACAGGTCCAGCTGGAGTGTATCAGCAGGGCCAAGGCAGCTCTTAGAAGTGTCTTCCCACCCATGAAAAACTGATAACGGTCACTTCAGTTGTTTGAGCTGAGGACACCTAAGCAGACAAAATGAATGGTGTGATCCTAGGACAGGACCTAACCACCTGTACCCTTCCATTTTAATAATCATCCTTCTGGGACTCTGAGCATTGTGATACCAGCCACAAGCAGTGGAGCCACAAGGCCTACTTGAATTTCTTTGCATTCCCAGCATCTGGTCCAGGTAGTTGAGGTAATGAGTGGAGAAGCAGAAACTGGCAGTCCAGATAGGGCTTGCAGCCCTAGCCTTCCACAGTGTCATCTTCAAGGCAATGCGTATTTTGTGGACACTCACTGAAAACAAATTAGGACTGGAATGGTAGCACATGCTTGTAATGCTAGCATTTGTGGGAAGAGAATTATTAGTTGAAGGCTAATCCAAACTGCATAGTAAGTAGACTCAAATACACAGTGAGTTTGAGGCCAGCATGGGCTATATGGTGAGTTTGAAGGCAGTCTGAGTTACAGAATGAATTTGAGGTTAGCCAAGGCTATTTGCAGTGTCTGATATCGGACTGATCTATACACTGAGTTTGAGGCCAGCCTAAGCTACATGATGACTTTGAAGTTAACCTGGGCTAGGTACAACCCCTGTCTCAGAGGCAGCAAAAAGGACATGTCACTGGAGCTAAAGGTAAAAAGAATTCAGAGATTTTTTTCTAAGTATGTGTGACAAATCAGATGTGCACATATTTTTCTGTCACCCAGGCATTGGGTATTTTGAAAGAAACAAATCCTATTGGCAATTGCTGCAGAGGGTTGCTGGGGGAGAGAAAAGTCTTGAAGGATCCCAGCTTCATGAACCTAACAACTCCCTTTTACGCAGGACAGTGCTATCCCCTGTGGTGCCAAAGGCCATCATATTCTCAGTAGAACCAGACTCAAGTGGGATCTGATCCAAAATTTTCTGTATCTACCATGGATCCAAACTCCAGTCAGGATATGATCCCCGGCCTCTGAGAGGAGCCAGGGACCTGCTGCCTCTGCTGCCTCACACTCCAGGCCTGTCTGTCTTGGAGCTCTTCTTATGCCATTCCAGCTTCTTTCTGGACCTTCCCACAGACAGTGCCCACTCAGGTCTGTCTCCAACATTCTCTAAGGCAAAAAGGATGCTCTTCACAATCCTAGTCATTTAGCATTTGATTCGTTTTCTAAAAGCTCACTAAATAGCAGGGTAGGCAGAGGAGTCAGCCAGGTTGATGCCCCTCCCTTCTACCCAAGTCTTCACCTATGTCTCTAAAACAAAACCATGAGGACATATAGATATACAAGAAATTTGTGAGTTGCTTTATAAACCTTGTGACTGCTGTTGATTTTTTTTTTCCTTCAACAGAAGGCTCTGGGCTTTTCGAATTGTTTGTTTTTATTTTTTTATTAATGAAAAATTAAACCTAGGACCTTGATGATGAAAAGCTGGGCAAACACTGAACAATTCCCCCAAGCTCTCACAGGAAGATTTTCAACCATTGAGCTATGTATCCTCAGCTCTCAGTTTGCTTTTTACTTGTGAGACAAGTTCTCACTAAACTGAGTAACCTTGAACTCAGTCTGTAATCTAGGCCTTGAACTTTGGATCCTCCTACCTTGGCCTCTGAAGTAGCTGGATTTGCAGCTTACACCAGGCCAGGACAAAGTTCTAGGATTTTGAACACACTTGGCTTTTATGTATAGGACAAATTTCTTTATGTTTGTTCCATCAGGAAAAACCTTTGCCTCCCATGCCTTATGATGCAAGGTAGCTCTGCCAAGAGTCTGGTGTTTTTTTTTTTTTTTTTTTTTTTGGGTTTTGTTTTTTCTTTCCCATGAGATGCATAATGAATAGATGAGGTCGACATGGGAAGAATGGTGTGTAAGCAGGCAACTTGCAAGGATGCGTCCTGTCTGGAGCCTTAATGGATCGGTAGCAATTACTAAATGACTTACTGTGTATGACCCTTTGATCAGGAGTTGGCTGTCTGACAGGTGTCGCCCAGAGGCGACACATCAGTCTTTGAAAAGACAGATCCTATCACAAGATGATACAGGAGGAATTTTCAAAGAATCCTGATCCGGTCCAGACTAAGAGCAATAAAAATCCTATGTAGTTATTGCGGGAGGAAAAGTTGAGCTGTGGCATAGTTAGGCAGTGTCATTATCTTTGTTTAAGAGATTCGGCTGCTTGCCCCACCCCTGGCTTCATGAGGAGGGTAACAATTATAGCCAGTCCCAACAGAATGAAGAAGGCAATTAAGGGGGGGGGGGGAGGGGGCAGGGACAGAAAGCAAAGCCAGGCAGGCATTCGCCACCGACCTTGATTTTTCACTTCAGCAAACTCCTTGTTGTACTCTTCTAGTGTTTCCCTAAGTTTCTGGTTCTCCGTTTCAATGTCGTGTAGACGCTGCACTTTTATTTCCAGCTGTTGCCCGAGGTCCAGGGCTGGTACAGGATCTACATGGTGGGAGAATACAGGTCAGCATACTAAACCCAGACCCTCATCCAGGAAACACTCCATCACCAAGCCATGCTCTCGGCCCCTCACTGGTGGATTCTAGGCAATCCTCTTTAGCTGACATAACCCCCAGTTCCTTACTGGGAGTGTCTAAGTAGGTAGTGTACCTCTGAGCCACGCCAGCCCCTTATAGGCAATTCTGGGCCAGTATTCAGAAGTTACCTCTTTTGACCACTGGCTAGGTGGGTAGTTTGATAAAGAAGGAACTCAGTCCTAGATCTTAAACTTGTGAAAATGTGGTGACAACAGGACTCTGGCATTTGCCAACTCTGGTGGGTGTAGTTCTCTAAGGATTTTCATCCATTGGTCAGAGAGAGAGAGAGAGAGACACAAAGCCTATCTTATCTGCAGAGCTTTCCCTGGAGGATACTAGTGCATGGAAAGATGCCTCTATTTAAACATGTCTAGGAAGTTCATGGATCTGTAACTAGGGAGAAGCAAAAGTCATAGAACACTTGTACAGACAGAACTTTTTTTTTCTTCAAAAGTCACAATGACACAGTAAGGAAGTAGCACTGAAGTTCAGTACAGAGGAAGGGTTGGCCCAAGTTTACATGATTGGCCCACAGAAAGCTGACCTAAGCCTACTGACTCCAGGTGACCATTATTCTATACATGAAGACTTTTGGAGAGAGGAAAGTACCCTTGGGTTCTGTAAGGACATGGTCCTTTATTTTATTTTGTTTTGTTTTACTTTTTGAGGCAGAGGCTCACATGTATGTACCATGCTGGCCTTGAACTTCTGATCCACCTAATTCCATTTCACAAGTGCTAGGATCAAGAGGCATGTAACACTATTAGATCATGTGCTGCTGGGTATCATGCGCTTTGTGCACCAGTGCTTTGTGCCTGTTGAAATGCGTTTGTGCTCTCTGAATGACATCTACAGCATGACGTGGTCTCTCTCTCTCTCTCTCTCTCTCTCTCTCTCCCTCCCTCCCTCCCTTTCTCTCCTTTTTAAAACTGCCACCTTCCTTTACTGAATAGTCAGGTGTGCAGCTGATGGTTCTAAGACTGGAGACCCCTATAAAAACACAACTGGGGGTGACCCAGCATGACCCCTGCAGCAGGCCTATGGCCAGCCAGCTAGGAAGCCGCCAAGTTCCCCATTAGAATACAGAGAGCAGAAGAGTATCTGGATCAGTCCCGTGAGACCACGTGAACAAAGGAACATGATGTCTGGGGCTGCGGAGATGGTTCAGTCAGAAAAGAGCTTGGTGTGCAAGCATAAGAAGCAGAGTCTGAGTCCCCAGCACTCACATGAAAAGCCAAGTGTGGCACTAGTAATCTCAATAGTAGGGTAGAGACAGAGGGGTCTCTCTCTGCCAGCTGCCAGCTAGCCTTGTAGAACTCGGAGTTCCAGGCCAGCGAGGGATACTGGCTCCTGAGGAACAGTACCTAAAGTTGACCTCTGGCTTTCACAGGGATGTTTGTTCATTCATACTCACACAGACTGGCCCTCCTACCCCCAAAAAGAATGATGTCTGCCATCAGATTTACTCAGTATTAGATTTTAGTCTACAGTTGGATAAAGCAGGCATGCAATTTATAGGACTGGCTTTTGGCCATTGGCTTTCCCATGAATTCTCAGCAGAAGACAGACGGAGAGACATACAGACAGACACTAAGTGCTCTGCGTCCCAATTTGATCTTCATTTTCCTTCTGTCTAGGAGGCAATTACAACCCACCTGCTGGGCCTAAGGGGAACACACCCTTTGGAATTCTGAGAATAGAAGAATACTCAAGTCACAGGGCTTAGAAAGATTACTGAATCTATTTCTGGCAGGGGCGCCAGCTTCGCCTGGGAATGGCTGTGGAGATTTAGTCTCCTCTCAAGGAATGCTAAACACCACACATGGCAGATCAGTGAGGGTATATATTCAAGAGCTCACTTAATTTTCCAATGCCAGAGACATTAATTTTTCAGACCACCCTTGGTTCCTGGAAGCAAGGGCTGGCCCACCATGGCTCTGTGAATGCTGCTTCACCAGCAGCTGGGATTCTCTGCGATGTACAGAGTTTATTCCACGTGTCACCAGGATGGGTGGAGCTGAAGTCTGCAGCCCCAAGGGAGCCCAGCACTGGGGCTTAACACCAACACTGTACATCATGTGAATGTGAGGCCTACTGGGCACTTACGTGGCCTATATACAAAGTCCCTGCCTGTCTCCCTTTCTCATTCATGACTTTTCATTATTATTTCAATCGGCATTAAAATATTTATGTTATGTTAGATTGCTAGAGCTATTTTGGGAACATAGTTCTTCTGAGCAGGAGTGGCAATAATAAGAAAAATGGAATTTTCAAAGCACCTCAGGTACTTTTTTTTTTTTTTTTTAAACTGCAGTATCTTCCCAGGAAACCTGGATCCCTCTCTGGCCTCTATGTCTTAAGGCTGGAAAAACAGCTTGAGAGAAATGAGTGATATGTCCATAGCCTCCTTTATATAGGACAATTTGAACTTGATCCAGGAGAGGGGAAGGTGCTGTACTTGGAGAAAACTCTACGAATGTTCACTGATACTGTCTTTTCTAGCATGGATTGCTAGCACCAATTTGACTTTTCAAGAACTAAGGTTGCATTTTATACACATGTGTATATGTGCACAAGGTATTAATGATGGGAGTCTTCCTCAATCTATCTCTACATTGTTGAAGCAGTGTCTTTCATTTGGCCTGGGTCAATTTGATTTTCCCTCCCTCCTTCCCTCCCTTACTAAGTAGGCTAGGCTGGCTGGCCAGCAACTCCCAGGAACTGTTTCTACACCCCAAGCTCTGGAAATTACAAACACATAGGAGCTTTTTACATGGTACTGGGGATGGAACTTGGATGCTCATGCTTGCCAAGCACTTTACTGACCGAGCCATCTCCCCAGGCTCCTTCAGGCCATTCCTATTTAAAGGCCAGGACCCAGTATGTCTGTCTCTGACGAAAAAAATAGCTTCCATCTTGCCATTCAGCAGGAATCCAGTAACATATGAAGAGAACACACATGTTATGAAGCAAATAGCAACCAACTAAGCCTTTAGACAAATTCTCAGCATGCCCCACTGTAAATGGAAGTTCTGGCACTCTTGTAATTATTCATTATGGCATCTATATTTAATTTAACAGTATTAAAGTTAATGTCAAAGTAGCAGAACTGGCTACAGAATGGAAAAGGAACTCAATGTTCAAATAGTTTGATGCATTAAACTCCCAACTTTACGATGGTACACTGCATGACTAAAGGCCTACAGCATTGGAATATTGTTTTGGGATATGTAAAAGCCATTGGTAAAGTACCTCTTAGGCTTAATTTTTATTATGTGTATTAAAGGAACGGCTAATTACCACATGGTGGTATAATAGCTCTAGCATGTTTGAGCTGGAGACCAAAACAATGAATTTCAGCAGGCCAAACCCTGACCTGCATGTTAAGCTGGGGAAATCATAGCTTTCTGTCTCGTTAACGATTTCCAATGACATTTAAACTCCACATAAGCATTGTTAGGTCTCAGGCTGTACGTCATGAGCCTCTGATTTCAGCAGTTCAATTACGGAATTGTCTGAGGGAGGAGACAGAACACACCCATAGACTGAAGAATAACATGCAAAGTTCTGTAAGCCACCTGCCCAGCCTCCAACTCAACATGCTTTGCCACTATCCCCATCCACCCACCATGACAAACTCAGAAAACATTTTATGATCATCTGATAAGTTAATTCCTGAAGCACGCTCAGAAGTAGTGTGCAGTTTGTTATGCAACTCAGGACTTAAACGGCATAATTATATAACAAACAACCCTATCACCTGGATTTATTCAGCACATTTTGCTAAGCGTGGTAACATTAGCTCATTAATTCTAGTCATCCCTGCAGAAGCTGGGGGAGGGCATGCTGTGATGTGTCAGGCGCTGGCATCTCCCCCAGGGACAGGGATGGGAAGGGAAGCTGGCCAGGCCAACAGGTATGCAAAATGCTAATTAAGAATGCTACTTCCTGAGCCAGCAGCCACCTCAATTATACTGTCTCTTCATGCACTAATTTAACAAGGGTTTCCTAAGTGGCTACATGATCTGGGAAAGGCCAGGATTGGGTACTGCAAGGGACACTGAGCCAAGTAAGCTGGAAGCAGCCTCTCTGGAAAGGTAGCCCAGGTACATCAAATATCAAGAGTAAAATAAAACACAAAACCTGGCCACACTAAAGATCGGATGAGTGGAAGATGGGTTCCATATGAATGGGCAAAGAGGGGCTTTTGTTAGTGAGAGGAGACAGAGATACTGTGTTGTTGCCTTAATAGAGACATGGGGAGTCAGGAACACAGTGCCAGGCATGGGTAGACCCATCCATCACCACCAAAAATAACTGACAATGTTAATGAGAATGACAGTGGGGTGGTTCTGGGTGCTAAAGGGATAAACAAGACTAATACCTTGCTCTCAAAGGCTTGCCAAAGGGACTGGAGAGATACACCCCAAAATACACTCATGAAAAACTGACAGGATAGGAGAAAAAGAAAAAAAAATCCATAACAATGGGACAAATTTCAAATCTTCATTCACATTTATTAGTAACATAAACAGACATAAAAAATGTTCCCCTGTGGTGCTGGAGAAGGAACTCAGAGCCTTGAGAATGAAAGGCTAGGGCTCTACCACTGAGGCATGCTCCCAGCTCTCACAGTTGGAATTCTAGGCAGCAAAGAAACCCAGCAAAAAGTCAGTATGGAGGCAAAAGCCTGAAGGCCCTACACAGACAGCTGTATAACAAGTGTTTCGTCCATATGCACAGGGAACATCCATCACTAGCAAGTAGAGCTGCAAATAAGCCTTGATAAATTCAAAAGAACAAATATCATCCAAAGCACACTGGCTGGCCACAATGGAGTAAAACATGCCCTGAACCTCCACTTAAGAACATAAAAAAGGAGCAAATCAAACGCAAAGTAAGCAG